TACATAACCTTCCAGAGCCACATACACACAATATATAACCTTGTAGGTATGTTTCTGTTTAAAGATATTTTATATAATATATATTGTTGATTCATTAATACTGAACTCACAGCCAATAGCACTATAACTCATGCATGAACAAAACTTACCTAACACATGTATTTTCTTCATAAGGTGCTTCACAGCCTTCTTGTACTTAGGAAGATAGACAGCACTCTAACACTATACTTGGGAGCCATTTTTATCAGCGAAATTACCAATAAAAAGCATAAAAATATGAAAAAACATGGCATTAAATAGACCACAAAAAGGATATCTGTTTACAGTACAGGTATCCCCAACTCTTCAAAAAGTTGGCTTTACACCACTTTGCTTTTATGAAAGACCTACCTGTTTTCACTAACCAAAAGAAATCCAAAGAGCATTTTCCCTTTTATGAAAAGGCAGAAAGTGAAAACAGCATTCAGCATCTGTTTTGCAGAGAGCCATTATAGAAGTAGCATGCTTCCAGAACAGAGAGAGTGGCACTGCCAAGCTCCTTCCTTGGGAATTACAATCAGCATCTCAGCATCAAGCTGTCACAGCTCTGAACTGTTGTCTGTGCTATCTGTGCTTTATCTTGATCTACTTTGTGCATCTGTTAGCAAGATGTGTCCCAAAGTAATTGCTTCTCCACTTCATGCCATTTCGGCTCACGAAAGGTTTCATAGCACCCTACTTTCATCAGAAAGTAGTTTCATCTGAAAGTATTTCCAACCCAAAGTGGGGGAAACCCAGTATTAGAGTTGAAACAAGAAAGTAGAGTGTCCCCTTGTTCCACCTCACCTGGCAACGTACCCCAGGCAATACAAATTTTTCACCATTTCTGGTTCATAAAGGGTTTTCTGTGACCAATGAAGTGGCTCAAATTCTCTTTCTTTCTTTCTTTTTGCAGGGGGGAGATAATTATGTTTGTTTATTTTTTTTCAGTGGAGGTACTGTGGATTGAACGGAGAACCTCGTGCATGCTAAGCATGTGCTCTACCACTTGAGCTATACCCTCCCTCTTCCCCCTCAAATTTTCTTAATTCATTGCCAAATTTCAAAATCAGGAAATTTCACATAAAAATCTAGATTTCTGGTTTTCTTAAAAAAAAAAATCACACAATCTAGTAACACAACAACTGGCTAGAACTAAGAAACAGGGACCCTTTCAATAAGGCCTGTGCTTGCTAGTTCACCCTAGTCCCCACCACTTACTTCTGCCCTTACATCATGCCTCCCCATTCTACTGCCAGCTAGCCCTGATGTAAATACATCATTTACCAACCCAGATGTTCATAATATATTGCTGACTGCAAAAAGGTTCAAATCAGATTGTATTGCATAACCTCATTTTTGTAAGCTACAAAACACAGGGAAAAAAAATATGGCTATAAAATAAAACACTAACAGTAAAGTTATGAATGATCCTTTATTTTTATTTCATGTTATTCATATATTATCTTTTTAAACTAGTGAATATACATTTCTTATAAATTATGCTATCTTTATAACAGCTTTGAGATAATTCACACATATTGTTAAGTCATCCACTGAAAGTGTACCTTTCAATGGTTTGTAGTATATAAAAGATATGTGCAACCATCACTACAACTTTAGAACACATTCATCACCTCAAAAAGAAATCACACACCCTTTAGCTATCATTCCCCTATCCTCTCATTCATCCTCAAGCCTTAAGCAACCACTAAGCCACTAACCTACTTCCTGTCTCTATAGATTTGCCTCTTCTGGACATTTCCTATAAATGGGATCATATAATAAGTGATCTTTTGTGTCTCACTTCTTTCACTTAGCATGTTTTTCCAGGTTCATCCATGACACAGTATGTATCAGTACTTCATTCCTTTTTATTGCTAAATAATACTCCATCATATGTATTCACCACATTTTATTTATCCATTATCAGTTGATAAACATTTGGGTTGTTTCCTCCTTTGACTAGTATGAATAATGCTGCCATACACATTCAAATACAGGTCTCTGTATGGATATATGTTTTCATTTTTCTCAGGTAGATAACTAGGAATGGAACTGCTGGGTCATATGGTAACTCTACATTTAATCATTTAAAGAACTGCCAGACTATTTTCCAAAGTGGCTGCATCATTTTACATTCTCACATTCTCACCAGCTGGGTATAAGGACTGTTTATTTCTCCAAATCCTCACCAACACTTGTCATTAACTTTTTGATTACAGAATAGTTGTTTAACTGTAAGTGTTCATTCAATCATAACAAGCCCAGATTTTTATGGATTTCAAGGTGCTCTTATTCCCTGACATCACATTTTGGACTTGAAAGAAGTCCAGTCCTAGACCTGCTTCCCTAGCCTGTCCACCTTCTGCAAAATGAGGGGACATGAATAACTGAGCTAAATCGGCACCCACAAATAAAATTTTTACAGAAGATATCAGCAGCAGATTTTCTAAGCACTCAACAAAATAAAGTCTCTAACAGGGATCCAGCACTGAAGTGAACATATGTTCCCATCAAAACTCATTTGTAATGCCTCTTACATAAATGCAACTTCAAACCATAATAGCAGCAAACATGAGAATCTTGATTTATCATGTTTTGTAAAAGAATCAAGATGTCTGAGTTTTTCCCACTCAGAATCAACTGCTCAAATCCTGCTGTAGTATATAAGTGAAATGAACTGATTTTAAATCAGGGCGAAAACACAGATCCATTGGCACAAACATATAAAATGCCTGACTGCTCCTTTGCCCCAAGCCAGAGATAGAGTGCACTGTGCAGCCTTTCCCAACACTGCTCCTTACAGTCTCAGGGCAGCAAAGGGAGGAGGGCAAGCAGCAATACTACTGGCAGCAGTTTACAGCAGCCCAAGGCGGCAGTGAGAAGATCCAACCAGAAGAGAGTCTAACAATCTCAGCACCCAGTGCGATGTTCACCCAATACATTATTTTCCAAGAGTCAAAACGAGCATCTTAGCCAGGAAGGGGGTAAGCCACCAAACCCCTTCTGAGATGCAGGATTACTTTGTTTTCAGGCTTCAGTTCTGCACTGTGAACAAGTTCTGCCTCTTACAGAATGAGAACGGGCCCCCATAATATGCTAGTGTTAACAGGTGCAAGCACTTCAGGCAGGATAGGAGGTGGAGATCCACGGCTAACAAATCCTCATTTGTACTTGCCCATTCCCTCCATTTCCTTGTTTAATTACAGAGAGTGTTTCCAACTCAGACAAATTTAGCACATTTTCATAAACATTTAGTCCTCATCTACTGCTTGGAGGTACAAGAAGACACAAAAATACAGTCTCTGTTGGAAGGGAATTAGATCTAATGAGAGGAAATAAACAATTATTCTTAAAAGATACATACTATTGTTTTTTGAGTAAGAGCAATAATGTTACTGCAGTTCAGAGGGAGTGGAGTATCCCCAAGGACTGGAATGTTTTGGGAGTGTTTCATAAAGAAGGTATGAAGGATGTGAGTTGAACTCTGGAGAAAAGAGAAGTGAAACTAATGGCACAGGATATCCCAAAGAGGAGCAAGAGCCAATGGATAACCTGGCAAAAGGATTTGTGTAAGGAAATGATTTTGTATGGAATGTTTATCAAACCATTTGGTTAGTGGGGTTTAGGACAAACCCTAGAGATGCGGGCTGAGGCCAACTGGGTAGGAGCACCTTGACTGCCACGTTAGAACATCAGATCTCATCCTGTAAGTCTGTAGCAGTTTGACTTTGATGTAGGATCTCTATAGTTGTAAATTATGTCTGTTGCTCATAATAGTTAAAAGTACTAACATTTACAGGTGAATTATTTAAATATGAAGTTAAAGTAAATGGAAGGTTATAACATTCCTACTCATTTGCACTTAAAAATGCCCAGCACAGAAGTAGTGCTATTAGCTATCTTTAGGTAGTAACATATGCTGAATCAAGCAAGCATCATGTAATACTCATCAATATCCATGAGATAATAAAAGCATTAAACAAAGGCAATAAAAGTTCTTGGATATTCTATTATTTCCTTAGGGCAACAGTTCTAAAATAGGATTAGACCATGAATGGACTTTAATGGACCCCTGAACCCCATAAAATTGTATGCAGGTTAGTGTCATGAACTTGACTAAGGAGAGGGTCTGTCTCTTTATACATCTCCAAGAGGACAGATATCCAAAATAGGCTAGGAACCTAACTTAGGGTTATTTTAAACAGAAAACAGCAGGAATTTAAGAAGTGTTATTCAAAGCAGGGTTGGGAGCTTGAGGTACTGTGGGAAGCTCCAAATATTTTAGTATCTCCCTCCTTTCTTGTCAAGAACTGTCCAAGATACTGGTCTTACCAAGAGTAAAACTCACTCAAGATTCAAAAAATGGCCCGAGGGTAAAGAAATACCTAAAGACTAATCCCTCAACTTCTCTCTTCTCACATGTTAAGGGCAACAGCAACAGGCCACCAGCTGTCTCTGGTTTCAGCATCTTCTCCAAGAAAATCTCCTTAACAAGGAGCTGGTTTCTTTTAAAATTAAACATTCTGTGGTGACAAGATTCTGACACAAGTGTATGAAGTATTGTTGCTTAACTTCTTAGTCGTCTCAGGCAGGCTTTTTGTATGACTAAATACAGGAGCCTGTGTTGAAGAACCAAGGGCTCATAGGGAAAAAGAAATGTGTTTTGAAGCACTCTGAACTCTTCCTAGACCTGCACACCTTGCCCGGGGTCTCTACCGTCTTACGCTCACAGGAAGGGGGCCTGGCGATCTGTTTTCATTGGGCAAGATACATTAACACTGTTAAAAGTTATTGTGCCAGTTTCGCACCATTCGCAAGGCAAAAAGAAGTTTCATTTCTTTTTCTGATTCTAAAACACTCCCACATTTCCTCTGTCTCCTGATTACACTGGCAAAACATGCGTTTACGAGATAAAATCAATCAAGTCATCACCACGATATTCACTCTCTCCTAGAGCAAAAAGAGGAAGATCTTACCATAACTCCAAAAAGTGATGGTCTAGAATCACAGAAATTATGTCCCAAAATAAAACTCGGGCATCATGGACGTTAAACCAGGCCCTTCAGGTAAAAGACAACGGTGCGCTCCGAGGAGCAGAGGTAGCAGGCGCCGGGCAGAGGGCCTTCGCTCAGCCAGAATCACAGGGCCGTCACACTGGCCTGCCCGTTTCGCGGGGGCTTTCGCTTGTTTTGTCTAGTCTTAGTCTCAAGCGGTCTGAAAGTCAGTCGCAGGAGCGACACCTAAGAAAAACGGTACGTTACTGCTCACTCGGGAGCAACACAAGACCCCGGAAAACATCAAGCTGGCAGTGGACACGGATTAGCGCTGAGGGTCAGAGAAGCCCAGGATTTCGGTCAGAGAAACTAGTTTCCCGCTACCCGCCGGATGGCCTTTGGGAGCGGGGCTCTCAGACCTCCACCCCGAAGCCGTCCTACGGCCTCAGCGATAACATCTAGGAGGCTCCACGGGCGGCTAGTCAGGACGCTCGAGCAATGCTCAGCCGCTGCCCCTACCCTGCACGCGCCAGCTCCAACCCCGCGCCCGCGGCCGCCCACCCCACAGCGTCAGCCTGGTCTTTCGGGCCGGCTCCTGTCACTTACCGGCCCGGCCCGGGCAGCGGGCGCCCACGGCTCCCCACGGGAGCTGGGCCCCCCGGGCCTCCAGGTTTCGGCCCGCCCCCTGGCAGGCAGCGCAGGTGGCTGAGCCCCGCAGCAGCGGCCCCTCACCGGGCACTCGGTCCTGCTCCCGGCGCTGCCCACTAGGTACGGATCAACAACAAGATGGCGGCCAGCCGAGGGGGCGGGGGCCGGGAGTCATAGTAACCAGGACGGCAAAGAACCCGCCCCCAGCTGAGAATATCCCCAATCAACAGCCTCTTTGCCCGACACTCGGAGGAGTGCCTCCCGCTGACAGGCCGGCTGGTCTGTCAGTCAGAGCCTAACTCTGGCGGCCCGTGCCGAACACCTCAGCACGTGACTGTGACGACACGAATTGGCGCATGCGCGCCATTCCCAGCGTTGCTGGCGGTAGAGCTTCTGCTGGCTTCTTCGAGGCTGTTAGCGCCCTTGGTATCCTCGCGTATGTGGGCTCCGTGAGGGGACGGCATCGTCTTCTTACACTTATGCACACTTAGCGAATTTGTGCTGTGTGCTATATGCTTTTCTTGTCATCCAGCTTGGGAGGCAAGACTTGTCCCTGGTTCACTGGTGAGGAAACTGAGGCTCAGAATGGGAACCCAGACCAAGGTTATGCCACCTCTGGAAATGGAAACCCCGGGTTTCGTGCCTCCACTTACTGGCTCCCGTCTATAGTGCCCTCTTCCCAGAAGCTGTCCCAGCTTTGCCCGTCATCAGTACCAAGGTGCAGCCTTCTGTGCTGCCCCAGCAGCCCCTGGCGCGTTGCCTACATTTTTCCTTCTGCTTGATGTTCAGGCTCCAGCACAAGCCCTGGCACACAGCATGCACTCTCTCTTCCTGCCCTAGAGCATCTAGTCTTGAGTTCTTATGACATCTTTTTTCCCTTTAATTGCCTGATGTGCCACCAAGGCCAACGAAGAGTCTTGGGAGTACAGTTATCCCCCATACAGAGCACCTAACCCTGGGCTTGGTTTCAGATGCAGTCACCCAGCCTGACCCACAGCAAGTGCCTGGACTAGCTAGCTTTGTGACTTTTGAGCCTTGATTGCCCCATCTGTAAAATGAGGATAAAAATCAAGCTCTTCAGAGATGAACATTTAATGAGCCCTTAGAGCAGGGTAAGTGCTCAGGAAAAGTCTGCCTGCAACCACTTCCATTAACCACCTGCTGTCAAGTTGCTGTCTCTGAGGCCTGCTCTAACACCGTCACTTTACTTGGAAGCACCACAAAGCATGCTTCCCGCCCCCCTCCCCAGAAGGCACTCAGCTGCTTCTTCCACCTGGGTCACCACAACTGGCTCAGGAAGGGAGGTCCTCTGGTACCCTGAGAGGGTTCAGGTCCACAGACTTGACAGAGCAGAGGAAATTGAGAGAACTTGGAGGACACTACAGTAAAGGTAACCTCCACCCAGACAACAGGTCCTTGGGGGAGAGCTGGCAGTAACCTGAGACCTGATGCCAGGCCGGACAGAGTGGAGTGGGCTTGCACTGCACCCGACAGAACCCGCCCTCTTGCAGGTTACTGTAGGCCACCTGGCCACGTCCAGAAGCTCAGCTCAGCACAGGGAGGACCAAGGGCCAAGGAATCAGAAAGAAACAGATTAGGTAGAAATGGGGACACCTGCTCAATTCCTCCATGGCCAGTCACGCCACGGGGGTGCCCAAGTCTGCACCAACCTTCACCGCAATGCAAAAGCTCCAGATCCTTTTCAAGAAAACCTCCACATACAGTCAGCAGATTGCCCTGGAGACTGGTGTGGCTCTCAAACAATGGCCTCCTTTCAGTAGGAAAAGGAAGGTCCTGGGCCCTCCCTATCTGCTGGAGCAGGTGTCCTCTGAGGGGATAGGCCAACTGGAGGACCCCACAGTCACTAACAAGGATAACAGCTTCTTACCTCTGCAGAACATTAATCACTGTCAGAGCATTGTACAATGCCTTCTCAAAAGAAAAATAACCTTACTCCTCCCTAGAGTGTTCCTACAAGGCAGGGCGTTCTCCAAGTGAGAACAAGTGACCATAGATTTCAGAGCTTCTCCCACATGTAGGTTACAAGGCTAGGACTCTTCTGTTTGTAATTTTGTTTATTATCGAATCAACTTGAAACATAGCCCATGATCATGTGAAGAAGAAATTCCACAAATATGAAGCAGCTTCTTGGCCTCAGACCCAGCTCCGGGCTCCCGTGTGTGTGTTGAACAGGTAATTTCTGCCTGTACCTGAGCTCAGAAGGTCAGGAGAGAGAGACATCACTGCTGGCTTTAGCACAACTGCCTCCCTCCCGTAAGGTTAAGGGAAGATATTCCAGGACCCTTGGTGTGACCCCCCTACTTCTGCTTGATCCACCTTGACCCTATCTCCTTTATCAGTCCTTTGAGGTCTGGCTCAAATGCACAGGAAACATCCTTGATTTCCCTAAACTGGACACCAGCCCCCCTAAGCCCAGTGTCAGATTACTCTGTCAGAATTCATGGTGACAGTGGAGTATTTGGAGGGCTGCTTCCCTCCTCACCACCTTCCCCCTCTTCCACTGTGGGCAGGAACCAGACCAGGTCCTACAGGTGTTTGGCAAACACTGGCTGAAAGGTCAATGGGGGTGTTAGGGGGGAGACACCCCATTCAGGGAAAGAGTAGATAGTGGATGCCTGGTGGTAGGAGGAGATACTGAGATGGGGTACGGAGAGAAAGTGGGCCCAAGTGGAGAATGGTTTGGAAAGAGGGGGACTCACGGGAGTCCTGTGCTCTGCCATCAAAATGCCGCTGAAGTGAAAAATGAAAGGGTGCAATGAGTTGAATTCTGCCCATGGGGAGCAGGTGGAAGCCTGTCCCCAAAGAGGTCACCTGCCTCCTCCATCCCGATGGTGCTGGTATGGGCCCTCCCAGAGGGATAGCCATCCAAAAGGAAGGGGGCAGGGTTGGCAGGGGAATACTCTGGAGCAGCCAGGGTGCCCACTACACAAGATGGTGGGTTGACCATACCAGGCTCATGACACTGCTGGGTGCTTGTGTTTTCTCCATCTTCTGTGCCTCCATGAACCCCTCAATGGGCCCCTCAGTTCCTTGGCTACTGGGATAGAGTAGGAGCAGGAGTATAGCATAAGCCTCCAGGCCCCAGTCTGAGTTTAACAGCTGGACTTCTAGGCATAAAGGTATGCAAATGAGGCTTACCTGTTTAGGAGCAGAGCCTGGGCTTGTTTGTTTGGTGCCTGGAGCACCTGGGTCAACCTAAAATGCCAGAAGGAGGGATCAAGCAGTGAGGGCAGCAGACCTGCTGGCTCCAGGAACCAATACCATTCAATCTGCCCCCTTTACTGGGGATAGCCTGTGTCTGTATGCAATGACCACATTGTTACTCTCACCTTCCTCTGGGTCCAATCCTGTGCCCATAAGAAGAGTGTTAGGGGAAGGTCAGGTTTCAAGTGGAGGGCAGGGGTCAGGAATAGGGGTAAATGTCCAATGCATGACAGACTCAGAGTCCAAAGCCCTGGGCTTCATCCATACCCATCCCATTCCAAGACTGGGTTCTGCCAATGATTGAGACAACTTCCTCTCAGTGTCTCTCTGCCTGTAACCTGACAAACACTGGAGAGAGGGCAGTCCTACTTAATACCAGTTTGGCTGCTCATCAGCTTGGGCAAATCTTGGTTGAAAGTACCTATCACAGATGGGGTCCATTGGTGGGCTAGGGGGAGGCAGACAGCACAGGGATAGGAACCCTACCCCTGAAGGAGCTTGCTGAGGAGCCAGCCCAGAGCCAGGAGGAGAAGGGCACTTGTCACTGTCAGCACCACCACAAACCAGGACTCTGGCTGCCAGAAAGCCTCCATGTCTGTCACAAGCAGGGGTGTCATCATTGAAGACACCTGAAATAGGGCCATAGTTTTACCACTGCCCTGCCAAAATGCCCTGATCATCCAACTCCAAGGGCTGGACCATCTCAAACCCCAGATTTGATCTTCTGAATTGTCAGGCTCTTAGCCCTCATTGGTTCCCCACTGTTCCACCTGGAAAACTAGGTCCCCACACCCTCCAAGATCCTTTCTCCCCACCCACCAACAGCCTGTGGACCCCTCTCACTGTAGCTCTGCGGGTGCTGGTGGCCACTTTGCTGGCCGTCCAAGGAACTAGATGAACAATGACAGTGGTTGTGGTGCTGAGGTGGGGGGTGGAGGGACCTGCATCAGCCACATGGATCAAGAGCTCATAAGTATGGGGCTGCTCTGGCCAGGAGAGCCCCAACATGAGGTCGCTGTACACCAGGACAGCTCCTTGCAGGCTGAATCGGCTCTGACTATTCCCTGAAAACAGAGTGGCAGAAGAAGGGGACCATTGCTGGCCTTGGCCTGCCCCTCCCCCACAGCCTGGTAGCCCACCCCTACCATGGCCCTCACCTCCCACAATGCTGTAGGAGAAGACCAGGCGGTGTGGCTCTTCGGGAATCCTACATGACACCTTGGTCACCTCCACGCTATGGCCCAGGTGACTGTGGATGGTGAGTTCCTGAAATGGGGGCTCACACTCAGGAGCATGATCATTCACATCCTGCAGGAAGGAAGACAGGTCACCCACTCCCCAAATCCTCAGACTAGCCCCTGAGCCTCCACCCACTACAGCCAGAACCTAGGTGTCAGCCATCGGGCTCCAAAGCTTTCCACAGTGACATCCCACCCGTCTCCAGCTAACCAGTGGAGGAAACTGAGGTACAGAGTGGAAAAGCAGAATGCCAGAGGGAGATCTGAATTCTTTCCAAGGTCTCAGGGCTCAGTTACCTCAACCTCAATGGTAATGGTGCAGGAGCCTGAGTGGTGGTAGGTGGGGTCCTGGTCTTGGCTGTGGTCAGTCAGCAGGACAGTAAGCCTGTACAATTTTTGCAGCTCATAGTCCAAAGGCCCCAGGAGGCGAACCTCTCCTAGAAGAGATAGCCACAGCGTTAGCCTGCAGTCAACTCTGGCTCCACCTCTCCATCCCAGCCCTGGGGTGGGAGTACCACTGAGACGGTCCACAGCAAAGGGGGCAGATCCGCCAGAGATGTAGAACTCAATGCTGTCATGTGGGTAATCCATGTCCCTGCCCAGCACAGAGCCCAGCAGAGTGTGCAGTCTTGCATCCTCACGAACCCGAAATGTGCGTGGCTCACAGGATGGGGCAAATTCGTTGACAGGTGTCACCATCACGAGTATTGGCACCTCAGCTGGAAGCCATTCAGAGGTCAGGGAGTTGGCCTGGGGTTGCCCAGCCCTGCCCTGGGGTTCTGAGGAGGGAGATGTGGCCCTGTCCTGGGGGTTTAGGGAGGGAGAGGGTCTACAGGAAGGGAGGGCAATAGACCTCCTCTGCTGGGGGCATCTAAGAGAGGAGAGATGTTCCTCACTCAGGGGTCTTTAGTGGAGACAACCTTGCTCTTTCGGTTTCTGAGGGAGGAGAGATGATCTCATCCTGAGAGTGGGAAAACGCATACGGAAGAGCCGTGTCCTGAATGTCAAGGTCTGGGTATGATCACTCACTGGTCATGAGGGGCTGACCATTATCCAGCACCAGGATGGAAGCTGCATGCTGAAAGCAGGCCCCAGGAGTGTCACAATCCAGTGTGGCATTCACCTAGCCAGAGGGCCAGAGAGTGAGGCTCCAGCCTGGGAGAGCCTTGAGCCATGCTGTTCTGCCTTGGGCCAGGGTATCCGCAGATAGCCTACCCTGATCCTCTGTTTTCCAGACTGCAAAGCAGGTTGGTTCCACCACGGTCTCCTTCGCCCTCATGGTCTCGGGTTCCACAGACCGTTAGCCTCCCCCCCCCCTTTCGTCCCCCCTCTTCCTATCCCAAGCACCCAGCACGTGGGTCTGGTGGCTGGGGATGGGTACCTGCAGGACTGTGTCTCGAAGGCAGAGGCTGGCCGCACCAGGAGGTCTGTGGAACATCAGCTGGTAGTCGAGGGTGGAGCCCGGAGAGTCTGGGTCAGTGCAAGTGATGGTATTCAGCACGGTGCCCACAGGAGTGGTCTCGGGGATTTGAGTCCTGGGAGCAGAGAGCGGGCGGCAGGGCGAGAGGTGGGGCTGGGCCGCGAACAGTGGCTCTCGCCCCCACAGCCTAAGTAAGGCTCGCCTGTACTCACACCAACATCGCTGGGAGGCAGTGGGGGGGCCAGCGGTTGATCGACTGCACGTCCACCGTGAGCTCAAGCTTGGCGCTAGCCCATGGCCAGAGCCGCTCGAAGGCCTTCACCTGAAGCCTAGTGACCGCAGCGCCTGGGGCTTGCGCCAGCTCAAGTGGCGCGGTGGTCCGGACCAGGCCGTCGACTGGGCGGGGTGGGAGGGCGGGGGACGCACAGCTCGGCCTCGCCCCCAGCTCCGGCCAATTCCCACCCTCCCACCGATCCATCCGCGGGGGAAAGCGTAGAGACTGGCCACTCCTCCAAGTCTCGTTTCTAACTTCCGGTCCCCAACTTTCTGCTCAGTTCCAAGCTTGTTTCTTACGAGAGCGAGGAGGTACGGGTCACCTCTAGGACAGCCGCAGAGGCATCTGGGTACCCACCCTCTACGCCACTCACCGCGTCCAATGGAGAAGAGCGGGCAGGGCATCGGGGAGAGGATTTCGTAGCGCACATCGAAGCCCCGGGCCTGGACCTGAACCACCTTACTCCCGGGGACGAGGTTCTCAGGGATGGTGATATTCTGAGTTTGCTCCCTGGACCAAAATGAGGGTACTGGCTCCTACCTGCCTGTCTACAGGCCCCTCCCTTGGGTCTTCCTTCTTACCGGAGCTAGCTGGGGCTGCACCAGCAACCCCACACCTTAATCCTACTCCTAATTCCCTGGGGCTAGGTCCTACCTTCCCGACTGTTTCCAGGGTAGGGGAGCCTTACAGGAAGGAGACCTGGCTGGAGGGAGCGGGCAAAACTTTCACAATCAGCATCCCATGGCAGCTTTGGCCTTGTCCAAAGTTCACCAGAATCTGAAGCTGGAAGACCTGCGGTGCACACAGAACAGGAAGGGAACCACGGTGTGTGTCTACCTGTATGTCTGTGCCCAGTCTTCCCTTCAAATATGCAGCTCCCCACAAGGTACCACACTCACTCCTCCCCATGACCTGTCACTCTGCTGACAGATATTTCTTTGAGTCTCACTCTTTTGGGTCATAAGTCCTTCTATTAGGGTTCAAAAAATCCCTAAAAGAGTAATATCTGAGTCATTCACAATGTAAATTATCATCTTAGACTTGGCTAAGAGCCAGTCACTAAGATGTGGAAGTTTTAAAGAAGGAACTTCTCTAACCTCCTCCAGACTACACTAGCCACTGTACCCAGAACTTTCTCTTCCTGTGTGATGACATAGAACTTTCTCCTTTCTATTAGAATCATCCTGGGCTCCTGAAGCCAGGGATCCCTTTTCTTTCTAGAACTTCAGAGCTCAGCACAGAACCAGGCCAAGGTGGGAGGACAGACGGCATGGGGCAGCAGGTGCAGGTAGGGACTATGTCTGGGAAGGGCAGCATGACTGAGGAGGCCAAGAACAAACAAACCTCCAGGAGGTGATGGCTCTGCCAATTTAGTGCCCAATTAATGGATATCTCCTGGTCCCAAGTCATGCTTACCTTTTGAGCTTGTCCTTTGAGGCCCTGGGACGGTGCCTGCAGCCAGCCCTGCCCATTGATGGAGAAATGTCCAGGGAAGTATGGAGGGTCCTGGGCACTGGTGATGCTCATCTGACAGGACAGAGATGCTGGAGGCCCCATCCCTAGCACCCAGTGCCCCCAAGCATCCCTGTCAAAATCCCCCAACAACCCAGCAGGTACCTGTCCACTCTCAACGCTCCCACACCCACCACTGACACTCCAGCCTGGGTTCCTCCTGGCCTTGATCCTCAATCCTCTCTGTTTTTAAATCAATTATTCTGTCTTTTAACCACATTTCTTTTTTGGATTACAAAAATGATAGAGAATTTTCATGGAGAACGCAGTATATACAGAAGAACTTTAAAAAACTCAGCCCCTGAGATGTTCCTATAGGACCAGTCATAGTGGGGTGGGCAGCCCTCAGTGGCTCTCTCCAAGAACATGCATCATGCAGAGGCTTGGCTATAGACTAAAGAGTCCCTCTGCAGGCTATGCTTGGCCTTGCAGGGACTGGACTTGGTCACCCCAGTCCTCCTATCCTGGCTCCCTCCCTCCATTGCCCATGTGCAGGGCTTACCTGGGCTCCCTGGAGTTCCATGCCTGGGAGCAGCAGAGTGTACAGCTGGGCCCCAGGTGTGACCATTTCTGGCACCTGAATGATTTCCCCAGCTGGCCACAGGGGAGGTCAGGGAGGCTCTGTTCAGGCAATGCCTGCCCACACCCCCCACCTGCTGCCCCTGGCCTCACCTGGGCTGGCAAATCTCCCAGCACACTGGATGTGATCAGGGTCCCGCTGCACATCCACAGAGAGTGGTCCCTCCATCGTATGGTTGCCACATGTGAACCGCAGCTGCAGCTCATAGTGGTTCACTGCCAGGGCATCCAGCCGGGCCGAGCTGCTCAAGGTTATCTGTGGTAGGTGTGCAGTGCCTTGTGGGGCCTAGGCTCTTCATCCCCTGACATCATTTCTGGCTTTGTGAACTTAGGGTCTCCCCTTGTCCTCCCATGGTCCCATTACCTTACCTTGCCCATATAGATCCCCTGCCACCTGGTCAGGCTGGGTGGGTTGAAGAAGTTGGTGGGTGGCTGCACATGGAGCAACTTCAGGGTGGGTATGTATGAAGAGCAGTTGAAGAAGAAAGACTGAAGGATGGTACCAGGTCCCTGGCTCTCAGAGACATTTATGAACCAGGGCAGGCAATGGAGGTCTGTGAGGAAGAGATGATTCAAGCTGGAGGACCCCCATGATCATGGAAACATACCCACAAGCAGAGTCCTTCCCTTCTGCCTTAGGGCCTGGCCACATCTGGGGGACAGGCAGCTAAAATCCTTCCTTATCCCCACATCCAAACACGTGTCAGCTCATTTCACAGATTGGGAGTGAGAATTTGGTGGAGAAAGCAGCCAAGATAAGGAATGAGGGTCAGGGGTTCAGATCTTTGCCCTTTCTTGTCTCCCCCCAGCCCCTGTCCTCCATGATAACTTATCAGAGAAGGATCAGGATTCTACTCTTCTGTGGAGTCATGGGGTAAGAACTGAAGCTCCTCCACCCACCAGCTCCTCACCAGAGACAACCAAAGCAACAAGAAGCACCAGGGGCCTGAGCAGCACCATAGTGGCCTGAAGATAGACTGCAGAGACTCCAGAAAGCCAGACGTGTTTGTCAGGCCTACCCTGTTGCCAGGCTAGTTGCCAGGTTAGTTGCTCAAACAGGCAGGACTCCTGGGCCTCCAAGATCCTAGCCCCACCCATCCCTGGTGACTAAGCTCTAGACTCTAGACAGGCATCAAAAGGCCTGGAACACCCCCAATTTTCACTGCTCCCCATGAATTCCCCTATTCATGACTACAATCTGAAGGAGATGTGAGGGGAGAAGGATCAAGCTTCACATGGGGAAACTGAGGCTCAAGACTGAAGTCTTGGTCATGCAGTCTTGGAGATAGAGCAAGCACAGCACACAAGAAAAGTGTACACAGGACCTGCTACCCCACAGAATCTGAACCCCAGCTGTCCACTCACCATTAGAACATTATCTGCCTATAAAATCTGAGCCCAGCCATCAACAGAATCTCTCAAAAGCTGTCTACATTTGACAAATAAAAGTATCCTTGGTGACAGAAATAAAAACAGTGGTCATCTTTGGGGATATCAACTGGAAGGGGCACAAAGTGGCCTCCTGGAGTGGCTGGTGATATTCTATATCTTAATCTGGGTGACAGTTGCACAGGCGTCTACAGATTTTAACATTTATGGAGCTGTACCTTTGAGAGTTGTCTAATCATTTTATTTATGTTAGAAGTCAATTTCTAAAAGGTTGTCTACACTTGCTCTCTCCAGTTCTTCACCTCTACTCTCTCTTCTACCTATCATAGTTGAGCTTGTTCCTCTCTGCATAAAACTGCCCTTGTCAGAGTCCTCAGAAACCTGCATACTACTGAATCCAGTAGTTTGTTCTCCAGTCTCACCTCCTCAGCAGCATTTGATGCTTGTTCCCCTTGGCTCCTAAGTACCCATACTCTCTCAGTTTCCTCCCACTTCCTGGCTGCTCCTGTTCAGCTTCTTTGCTGGTTCTGCTTCATCTTCTCTATCTTCCCCCAGTGGAGTGTTCCAGGGCTCAGTCTGACTGCTGCCCTCCTCTGTGCACCTTCCCACTCACATCCAGGTCCCTGGCCTTAAATACCATCCATTCCCTTTGCTTCCTAGATCCAAGGCTTCAGTGCTGATCTCTCTCCCAGACAACAGAGGCACACACCCAATGGCTGACTGTGCACCTCCTCTTTAATATCTAACAAGTATCTTAAGGGTCATGTGTCCACAAATGATCATTTGATTTTGCTTTCCAAACCCACCCTTCTCCAGTCTTTCTTGGATCAAATCATGGCAATTTCAGCCAATCAGTTGTTCAGACCAGAAATCTAGGAGTCATGCTAGATACTCCTCTTTCCCTTCCCATATTCATGCATCAGCAAGACGACTTTAACTCCAAAACACATCCCAGAAGGGGTGACCCCCTTCTTTGCACCAGACCTACCTGGACCCAGGCCCTCCCCTCCCTTGCTGGATGAGGGCAGGAGCCTCCACTTCTATTACAGAGTAATTCTCTCAGAGCAGCAATTATCTAAACAGGAGCCAGCCCAGGTCATTCCCTGCTCAAAAGCCTTCAGTACTTCCCACCAGACCAAGAACAAAACCCCTTATTTCTTTCCAAGAATGCCAGGAACCTGGTTTTGCTGACCTCTTCACTACCCTAACTACCACCATCATAGACATCTGGGCCTTCTTTCTGTTAAGCCCTGTCCAGCTCCTGTCCTCTCAGGGCTTTTAACTGGATGGTCCCTCTACCTAAAATACCCCTCTTCTGGATCTCTCCTTGATGGCTTATCCAGAGCCCATACAGAAAGCAATCTCTGAGAATCCCTTCTCTCAAGCGAGCCCTTCGCCCTCATACCCCGGTATTTTTCTGTCTACTGACTTGTCTAGTTCTGTCTCCAGTTAGTCTGTGTCCTTGAACCTAGCCTCCGATTATGGAATGGCCTCAGGGAACAGGCTCTGACCATTTCGGTGAGAGAGCGCCGCGCTAAATCCCTGCGCTCCCAGTTTGCATGTGGTACCGTCAGACGGGATGCGGATGTCGCGGCAGGAATCGCAGCTAATCGCGCGCTGCCCACTAGAGGGCGGCCCCGCCTAGCTCGCCGCAGACGCGGGCAGAGAGGGCGGGGACTGGGCCTTGACTGAGGCTCCTCCCCGGTGCTGCCGCGAGGTTCCGCGCTCCCGTCGTCCTCGGAGGGGCCGCGGAACCCATCCCATCGACTCCTAGGGACTCTCAAGGCTGGCTCCAGAAGCGGATTTGCTGGGTCGGCCCCGAGTGGGCCACGGCACTGCGGGGTTCGACGACTGGGGGTGGTCCGCCCGCATAGGGGCGCAGCCGGGAAACCCGCGCGCTCCCAGGGCCCCGGCAGGAGAGACCACAGTTCTGTCCCAGGAAAAATGGGAACGCTGGGGCTACCACAGAGAAGCGACTTGTCCTGGGTCCTACAGCGAACCTGGAGTCAGCTCAGCTGCCCAGGACGTCGAGGAGTCCCGGCCCGGAGCCCACAGGGTTTCCAGATACAGTCCCGCCCCTCCCTCCAGAGCTGGCGGAATGGGGAGTGAGCGTCCAGCTCGCCCACCCAGCCGGGCCCAGGGGGCGGGGCCACATCAGCCACACCCCAGCGCCATTGGCTGGGGCGCCAGGGGCGGGGCCCGGCTGCCAGATGTTGGGGCGGCGGCCGCTGCGGGAGCTACGGAGAGGGAGGAGCCGCCGAACAAGGCGGAGGGCAAGGGCGCCGCTGGACGGCCCGCCGGGCCCTTTCCGCGCCGCTCCCGCTAGAGTTCTAAGAGGAACTGGCAGGCCTGGCGGGGGCTCTGGCGACCGGGATGCACAGCGCTCGGCTTGCAGCTCCTGGCCAGCTGCGCTGGAATGGTGAGGCTTGGGAACGGGG